CCCCCGGGGTCACGTGACCCCCGATGACGTCATCAGTGACGTCACTGATGACGTCATCAGTGACGTCACTGATGACGTCACCGGCATCCGCATCGTCAGTGTCATCATCAATGATGACGTCATCAGTGACGTCACCGGCATCCGCATCGTCATCATCACTGATGACGTCACCGGCATCCGCATCGTCATTGTCATCATCACTGATTACGTCACCGGCATCCGCATCGTCATCGTCATCATCACCATCCGCATCGTCATCGTCATCATCGCTGATGACGTCATCAGTGACGTCACTGATGACGTCACCGGCATCCGCATTGTCATCGTCATCAACACTGATGACGTCATCAGTGACGTCACTGATGACGTCACCGGCATCCGCATCGTCATCGTCATCATCACCATCCACATCGTCATCGTTATCATCGCTGATGACGTCATCAGTGACGTCACTGATGACGTCACCGGCATCCGCATCGTCATTGTCATCATCACTGATGACGTCATTAGTGACGTCACTGATGACGTCACCGGCATCCGCATCGTCATCATCGATAATGACGTCATCAGTGACGTCGTTGATGACGTCACCGGCAACCGCATCGTCATCGTCATCATCACTGATGACGTCACCGGCATCGTCATTGTCATCATCACTGATGACGTCATCAGTGACGTCACTGATGACGTCATCGGTATCCGCATCGTCATCGTTACTGATGACGTCATCGGCATCGTCATCGTCACGTGATCCCCCTAGGTCACGTGACCCCCACCCAAGGTCACTTGACCCCCCCCCCCCCAGTACCCTTCCCTCCTCCTCCTCAAGAGCTGCGCTCTAATTCGGCGTTACAGGGAGTTGTAAACGGCTTTCACTTTTTTAATCTAGTTTTATGTTAATATGTAGAATGCAACTATCTAGGTTTGGCTAGAATGCATAATTTTTTATATTTATTAAACATTCAAGAAACGTTTTGTCAGCCCCTTGAGTTGGGCTTTTTGCTGCTTTTCATTATTTTAACATGAAAGAAGCGTCACGTACGTTATGAAATAAAAGGAATGAATCAGTTTATTTTAGCAGGCGTTCTGTGTAGCCCTGCCCCACATGTGCACAAGAACATTTTTTATGCATGTACATTATTGCATTGTTAACCTATAAAACAGCTATCTCACTCAGAGAGTTCGTCTCTCGGACTAGAAGGCTGCAAGAATTGGCATCTCCTACTTTTGTTTATTTTGTCACAAGGAACAGAAAATAACCTCCTTCCTTCGAAATGCTGCGATCCCGCCACGTAATCGCGAGGCAAAAATTAGAATATTCCCCGACTTGCAGCCGCGAGCGGCGGCCATGAGAACCACGCGGCATGACGTCAATGGGGGTCTTGTAGAAAGATAAAAAGTTGCGCGAATACCTGCTCTTTAAGAGGTAACTTTTCTATAAATCTTGTCGTTCCAACATAAATATAAATGCGTCAAAAACCTGGTATCATCGACAAAACTTTTATTATACGAAGTTGTAGTGGTGCCATCTGTCCTAGGTCTACAACACCGTCAGCTCTATGTGCTACCGCGAGCAGCCGCCAGAAGCTGGAGGGGGACGGGGACGGCCGCAAATAAGGCCCCTATGACCCGGATCAGACTTTCCTTCTTTCGCCATATTGTTCGCGCTGCGCCAGCACGTGGTCGCGCGGTCGCGAGCGGATGAGTTCTCGCTGCTCACTGATGGCTCTAGAGAGAGAACTTCACCGGAACCCCGTGCGACCCACATTGACGTCACAGCGCACGTGACTCCGGAAGATGGTGAAGGAGTTGAGAGGTGCCGAAAACCTCAATCTTTGTCCATTTTTAAAATGAAAACTAGGACATGCAGGCGAAGGCAGTTTTCTATTCTTTACTTCAGAAAGATGGAGGCACCAACTCCCAAATTATTTAAGCAAAGGACTGAAATTGCTGCACAGCTCCTTTAAAAGATAACTGAAAAAAAAAAATTTTTTTAAACATCCCAATTGGGACAATCATGTCTCAAAACAATTTTTCCGAGAAAATAATTAGAGTAATATTTATTGCGCGAGACTGATTTTATTTTGCGGCTATTTCGTCCTTTTTAAATCGCGCGCCACAAAGGGGGTATTATACGTCACGGACTGGCTGCTATACGTCACGGAGCGACGTCCGATTGCAACTCTTCTCATTGGCTAAAGATTGATTCACAGCTTAGATCTTGGTTGTCAAACCTTTGTAATATGTTGTAATTTCCTTTTGAGCAGCATATTTTTACGTTTAAAGAATAACCCATGTGATTAGAGTTATTATTCTTTACAAAAGGGTTACAAGACGGGCACTTCCGTTTGGGTTCATACAATAAGGGCCCTAAACTCGTCAAACACCAAGTTGGAGCCGAAAGTTCGCAGAGCGCGCTGATTGGACGTCGGCGAAAAAAGCGCGAAGTCATCGTCGTGATAGGCCAATCGGAGCGCTCCATCAACTTCGGCTCCAACTTTGTGTTTGACGAGTTTAGGGGCCTAAAAGAACAAAATCTTCGCCATTCTTTCATGGCCGCCGAAGTCTCTACTCCCGCCTGTCTCGTATACCTCGATTGTCGTTTCGCCGAAGTGATCAGTGTTTCGTTGACCCAGGTGCTTGAGTGAGACTTCTTGAAGTGAAGTAGTATGTTTAGCAGCTGTCGCAGGTGTTAGTGATAGGAAGTGACGCGGAGTTGGGTTTGTACTTTCGTTTTCCTCTTTGCCTTCTTAGTGTGCTTTTTTTTTTTTTCTGGCTCGGGAGTTTTTTTTAGATGTCTCCTCCTTTAAAGCGGGCACAGTTGCTCTATAAAGTGCTGCCAGATGAGTGATCGCGACAGCGAGTTTTCCAGCAGCCATATCGCCCCGAAAGATGACAAGCTGAATGCTATTTGGCTGGAGGCAATCGAGCGTTCGCGTAGCGACAAACGTGTCCAGGTATGTTCTCGTCAATTCGCCCCGGAGGCCTTCGAGATTCGCACCGGGTGCACCGAACGTCCGCGACTAAGACACAGCTGTTACGTAAAAAACCTGGCGGAGCCAGGTTGTTACGTAAAAACTGTCCGCAGAAGTCTTCAGACGTCCGGATTCTGCCGTTAGCCGACAAATATTTTTTCTAGACTTCCGAACCATCTTACGCAAGGTTGTTTGAATTAAATGTGTACTGTTATCGTAAATCTTGGCTTGTGATTGCGGCTCTGTAGATCATCTTATTCGCTTTGTTGGAGACGCAACCGACGGGCATAACAAAATTGGCTGCATGTTCCACATACTTCGCATAAGCAGCTTCCCCAGTCATCTTATACGAGAAGCGCAAAACACGGAGTCCGCACTATCCTTGCTTCCCAGTCTTTTACCTGCTTTAGAAAAGTATGTCTACTGAAACTTGAAACTAGGGGCAGTGCCAGAGTGCAAAGAGACAAAGTTGGGAAAGCTTGCTCGCCCTCCGCAAGTGATTGCACCGTAATAAATGCACCAACGCGTCTTCCCAAAACAAAGAAATTTATTCACACCGCATGATGAGCACAACAAACTCACACGAGAGTGTAAGGAAAATATCGGTGCACTTATGTTTCCCTGAAATTCTGTATAACCGGTAGTTCAAACACTTGCAACCGAATAGCATCGGCTGAGACAAGACCTGTTTTTAAGCCTCTTGCGACGGCTTAGTACCTGCTCCGCAGCAGCACATCTGGTCCTACTCCGTCGCAAAAGGCTTAACCGGTCGTGTCACTCGGCCATATACTCGGTTGCAAGTGTGTGAACGGGTTTTCAGGGCCGCTACGCGTGCATTCATTTCCGCATGCCCACATTCCCTCCCGGCCTTCCTGTCGGCCGGCGGGACGAGGTCCTTCTCACACGGATCTGGCGGATTATGGTCCTGGACCTATCTGGGTGCCAGGAACCCGGTGATGCCAGCCCAGCTTGCCCCCCCTGCCCCGCCGAGGCATCCAGGGTGCGTCTTCGACACTTTCTCTGGAGCTGCTCAAACCTCCAACACCTCCTCATAAACCTGGCCGCACATTAGGACTGCATGAAATAGATTACGCTCAACAAGCGTGCCGGACCCCTACTGGGAATCATCCCTGATGCCTACGTACCCATCTCATCTGAACAAACATCAAGCCCTGCTTGTTACACGGAAATAAAAAAGTGAGGCGTTATGCTAACCTCGTTCTATTTTAGTAACTTTTAGCCGTAACGTGCTACCGTTTTGAGACGCAATTAGTAACTGCAGTTCTTAAGGCCTGTTCACACACTTGCGTTTGAGTACGACCAACTAAGACCGGTTTCTAAGCCTTTTGTGGCGGCTTACGACCGGCTGCGTTGCTGCGCAGCCGGTTGTCACGAGGTTACTTCTGTTGTCACTTCTAAATTTTTTTCAGCATTATTCTTAGAAGTAACGCAGTTAGTTTTAAGATGTAACCGTATCGAATACGTTTCTGTTGAGGTAATTGCAACGGTAACTTCACTACTTTTACCTGAAACTAACTAACTGCATCAAACATTTTTTTTAGGGTAACTAACCCAATACTGCTTTTACAGGGGTCCTGCAACAAGTGGGCTTTACCTAGAACAAAAGAATCCTTTCCGTTACGGAGAAGCGGAGAAGTGACGGACGTAAATACATAAATAAATAAACCTAATTTGTGTAAAATGACCCATTTTATTGGACAAATTCAACTAAATCGTTTTTGCACGCTTACATTCACCCATCTCTTTTCGATTAGTTTTCAATTTAAAAATCAATACCGTCACATTACTGGATCGCAGGCGCAAGGCCGGCGGCGATGCGATATAGTGATATTCTGGTGATATTCTTATCTTTCGCGTTTTCACTCCGCCGGCCTTGCACTTGCTGCATGAATGGTAACTTTAGCGCATTCTCGCGCTAGACCATTTGCTTCAAGTCGTCCTAAACTCGACTGATCTAGGAAGTTTCTATGACGATCAGCAAGTTTCTAGTTGAAATCATACATGTTTTTTTGTTTTTATTTTAATGATTGGGAAAAAGTAAAGTAGTCAGTTTTGGGTAATCATTTCATAGTGAACAACACGCAGCTCTGACGTCACATCGCTGCGGTGGCGCTGCTGTAGGCACGGCGCATGCGCAAACGATTCGCGCGCATCTGGTTTCTGCGCATGCACTGTGCCCACATCAGTGTCGTGAGAAAACATCGACTTGTTCTTCAACGGCGTCTTGGTATATATACGAAGACTTTAAGTATCGCTGGTTCCTCTCGAACCAGAGTTCTAATTAAAATCCAGGAGCAGCGTCTGCCTCGTGGGAAGTAGCGCGACGCACAGGGCTGACAGCGTGACGAGGATCGCGGGGGTCGTGCTGAAGCCGCTGGAGCCGTAGCCGTCGAGCTTGGGCCTGGAGCAGTTGTAGATGTCGAACAGGGTCATGCGAATATCGTACAGGGCCTTCTTGGCCACATCTGCTGACGCAGGACAGTTTGAGCCCGCCGCCAGTTCGCACTTGAGCGTCTCCTCGTGTACCCTGTTGAGGAAAAACATGATTCCTTGCCGTGCTCCAACACAGTTATGCTCTACACTTCTGCACACACTCACGCTGCCCGTGTTCAAATTTCATCGGGCTTGCCTACCGCTACAGTTCAGCGGACGGCGCTCGTGTAACTGTCGGGACGTCACGTGCGGCCATGACGTCAGGTGACACTAAGCTCCTGCTAAATTTGGCGGTGAAATGTACTGGATTCGCGCGATTTCTTGTTTATAGGGCCTGTTATGTAACAGGAGAAAGCACGCTCATTTTTCTGCGTGGGGGGCGCTGCGACCCAAGTGTCCTTGAAGCCCCTCTATCCTGGGAAAGGTGGCGCCATTCATTGTTGTAGAAACGCTCGAGGCACGTACCGCGCGCTACTTCTGGCAAGTTCATGGCGTCTGAAATCTAGCTCAGTGCTGCGCTGTGCCGCCATGCTATTCCCAAGGGCCGCAGGTTGCACGTGCCTTGTGCATCCACGAACCTTGCGCTACTTTTGAAACATGAAAGGGTTTTAAAGGGATACTGAACCAAAGAATTTAGTGCCCATAATAAGTGGCGCACGTTCTTTCCACCAGCCAGCAGCTGCCGGTGTGCGCGAGCACACGCAACAAAAATGACGTCACAGACCTCCATTCGCGGTTGAGATGACAGTGAAATGCATGGGCTTCGGACTAAAGGAGAATAAAGACAGGCTTTTCATCTCTACAAGTGAAAGCTACGTGCTTGTTAGACCAATTCATCGCTGACTTTTTACACCAGGCACCACTGTGTAGATGAAAAACTTGTCTTTATTCTCCTTTGGTCCGAAGCCCATACATTTCACTGTCATCTCAACCACGAATGAAGGTCTGTGACGTCATTTTTGTTGCCTGTGCTCGCGCACACCGGCGGCTGCTGGCTCGTGGAAAGAACGTGCGCCACTTATTATGGACACCAAATTCCTTGGTTCAGTATCCCTTTAAGTGTCCTTAATCTATCCTCGCTGTTCCAACCTGCCGCTCAGCCGGGACAGTTTCGCGGGGTTCAGTGGTATCTATTGTGTCCCGTATGACAACTCGATATCAGGAAAGTTTTCTGGCGTGTCTTTTCACAACCTATCCAGCGATAAATCACTAAGCACCGCGTGAAACAAGTGGATGCCAAGGGAGAACCTTGTTGGGAACGACAAGTTTCCATCTACTTCTGTGTGCAGCAGGCACTTTAAACCGAGGGACTGTGTAGCCGTGTGCAACATTAGGAAGCTAGTCCCTGGAGCCGTGCGATGGGTCTTCAAAAGACCTAATACCTGTACATAAGAAAGCCCGAAGAGAGCCTGTTTTGAAGCCGTTGGCATCTGCTCCGAAATGCAGAAAGCGGAAAGCAGATCTGTTGGCTCCGTACGAGGATTTTGTGCAGACGGAGCAGGTTGAACCGAACGGTTTGACTGCACTGGCTACAAGATATTTCGTTGGCGCCCTTTTATGGTGCCCATCTCTCACGTAACGTACGACCAAGAATATTAGTAGCGAGCGACAAGTGGGATGGTGCGGTGGAAGCCTAGTCATCACGTTCCTAAATCAACACCGTCAGAGTTGTGAGCCTGTCTTTGCTCTTCTTTCTGCCAAATAAAACAAAACTAATCCTATTCAAAACATCATATTGAGTGTTTGGCCTACCAACCTCAGCGATGCTTTTGCTCGCGCACTTCGCCAATAGGGAGTATTCACTGGCGGCCGTACCTGTGTCGACTACAGAGCGCGTGCTGATGGCGAGCTTCCACAGTTTCTTTTTGCAACGTGCATTCCGCAATGTCAAAATTGCCGGTCTCAGCAGCCTACTGATGTAAGCTCATTCTGAGAAAGCGCTCCAAACATCGCCCACAAACATGGCGTCCAGTGAATACCCCCTATAGCCACAGAAAGTTGTCCTCGTCGGGCCGCGGCGCTTCCAGTCAAGATATGTGACAGTGCCGCATTGCAACCATGGGTGCAATGGGTGCTATCATGCCTTATTGCTACAGTGTTCTCATTACAAAGGCAGTAAAACAGCTAGAGCGAGTGAAGTCCGGCCGAGCTTTGAAAGGCATGCAATCACTTATACTTCACGAGCACCGACTGATTGTGAGCCCGCCAAAGGTAGGCTCCGAGAAACTCAGAGAGAGGAGGAGACTAGAGCGCGGAGGAGACTTCAGAACGCCAATTTCTGATTGGAAGGATTAGTGGGTAGACCTAAAGGCTAAAGTCCCCGGCCTTTCTCACCACTGCACTCGTCGAGCCCGTTCGAATGCGAGAGCTAAACGCAGGACGCCGACATTCCGCGTTCTAACGTGTTTGACGAGTGCAGTGGGGACAGAGGCAGCTAGCTTTAGGTCTATCCACTATGCATTCCAATCAGAGCTCGGAGCTCTGACGTCCTCAGGGCTACATCTCCGCTTGTACATGGTTGAAGTCAGCGAGCAACGTGGGGAAACTGCAGAAGAATGCAGGAGACGAGATAGACGCTGAACTCACAACTCAATATTTCATCCAGAAGAGAAGAAAGAAGTTGACATATAACCAACAGGCAAGTGCTCATGGCACGAGAACTCTAGGGCGCGGGGCAATGGTTTTAGTGCATCGAAACATTTAAGAACAATACTTCATTTTCCGATAGAGTAACAAAAGGATGGCTCACGCAGTGCTCCCCCCAACCTGTTTAATATACGCCTCGTAAATTTCTTTGCAGAGCTTTTCCTTATATCGTCCCATGACAGCGGTGCTGGTTAGATTTGGAGTACACCTACAAGCTTGACAGTGAAGAGGTAAGTGACCCCCCCACCGTCGACCTCATAGACAGGTTATTTTCACGTAGCCATGCATAAAGCATTATACATAACCATGTATAATGCTTAGCAACTAGCCCAGCTCACGAGTCACTACCCTATTACCTCCGCTCGCAAGATTTCGTATGCTTGAAGTTGGTCGCGGTGTTGGTTCTTGCTGTTGGTCGGTCGTTTATGTGGGACGTAAGTGAACGAACTCTTCACCTGCAGGTCTGGAGCCGTGGGTCTTTAATTCCGAAATTCCAAGGATCCGGAATCTCCGACATGCAGTTCTTCAAGGCTTCCTGGTTCAGGCACTTGTTCCACACTTCGACGCCTGCCGAACAAAGACGGAAGGGGGCAAATGGTTATAACACAGCGTTAGGGAGCTTGTGTCGCAGAGGAGCCGGCATCCGTGGCGTGACGCGAAAATCATGATTGGTCCATAGGTCATGGCGTCACAGCCACACGACCTCACGCGGGAATTTCAAACAACCCACAACGCTCACGTGAAACGTGACGTCACGGGTGGGGTGAAGGTGATTAAAATATGACATGTAACGCGAATGGAAGGTCGCCGCAAGTCTCAAATAATTTCACTTTAGAAAGTAATTAATCTGCCTTAAAGAAACATTTCGAGGATGTTATGCAAGGTTCGAACCCACGGCTCTTCGGTTGCGAGTCAAACACGTAACTGAGTGCGCCCTGTCCGCCGCACTTCTCGCTTGCTGGCATAAAGAGGCCCGATAACGCTATCGCGTTTCACTCCTTTTAAAATGTACTTCAGGGAGAGCAAAGATGTACGGGAGCAGCTCGGATCCATTTCTGATATTTTTGCGACTCTCGTTTGCCCACTACGTTTCACCGAAGTCCAGACACTGCTGACACAACGATGGAACAAATCAGACAATGCCAAAAGCGAAGTCACTGGACTTTTTTCGTTTATGATTGGTCCAGCGACGAGAGAACACTTACAGAAACACGACGAACACTATGATGCAGCGCTTTTGACGCTATCTGATTTGTTCCATCATCTCGTAGCGTCATCTGCGTCTGTACGCAATGTGAACCGAAGGATAGTCAATGCCTGTTTAGGAGTGAAAAGGGGAGCTCCGGCCAAATACTGATGGTCACTGATTCGCCCTAAAGTTGGTTCAACACATTACTGGACACGCCTAAATTAGTAACCCAAATCACAATCACGATTTTTTTTTTTCGTCGTGAAGGTATTATATCTTTGAATTTTGGTCCGAGATTCTGAAAAGCTCTACTGGCAGCATCGGAAACGTGACGATAAATTTGTTTATTTATTTCGTAATACTGTCAGCCACCTGGTGGGGACTATGATAGGAGTAAGTACAAAGAACAATAGACAATGTAATAGAATAGACAGAACAGACAGAGGAGTTGGTTCCCTACGGGTCTCAGGGAGTTTTATGGTGTGGCATGAATGCTGGGGAAGCTCACGCCAGCAAAACAATAAGAAATCGCGAAATACTGCATTTCTGAGAATGCCTACTTGACCTACAAGTTACACAACATATAAAGTCACCCGACTGTAGAACGCGGGAGCATTGAAACGTTCGTTTTGGCATAACTTTTGTTTGTCGATTTCTCAATAACTATTTTAAATTTTGAAATGATAAATAGTGTGGTATTCGGGAAAGTGATGGCACAGGTTTATCCAGGAATACAAATCTCGAGAGAAAGGTGGAGAAGGGGGAGGGGGGGGGGGGGGGGGGGGGGGCTGGCGGGTTGTTAGTCTCAACCTCAGGCTGCGCTAGGAAGGTGTTGGGCGTCGAGTGTATAAATCAATGTCGGGGTGGCGGCCAATTTTTCATTAAGAGCCTTCACGTCCTGGTGAAGTCCATCGATAAAACGTCGAGTGCGGAGGCAATGGGGAGGTTCCTTTTGAAGTTCTGCTTTTCGAGTTCTTCAACCAAAGATGGTATTTACTGGACGCCGTATGTGAGTAAAGTTCTCACTGGTCATGTTTAGAACGAGCTCACACTTATAGGCAGTGTTGGACAAAATACTCGATAAAAGTATTTAAGTTAAGTTACTAAATACCTGCGTCATAAAGTATTTAAAATACTACTCAAGTTACTTTCACTGTAGAATATCTTGAGTAGAGTGCAAATACTTAGAAATGTATTTCAGTTACTTTTGAAGATACTTCCGCATTGCTTAATTTGTATCGACGCCATTGAAAACGACAATTATGCAGCTACGCAAATCTGGGTTACCAGAATGGTTTATTATAACGCAACAGCACAAAACGAAAAGAAAAAGTATCGTAGGGCTAGTTTATGCAGTCTTACTATAAAGAGCAAAATATTGTCACGAATGATAAATGATGAGGCGGTAAATAACTGAAGAAACTAAACGTTTAATGGAACGAACGTGTTCCCAAAACTAAAGAGAGAAAGGCTAGCGTCGCAGGCGTCGATGTCGGCGAAACAGCAGGATCGACCGCTGGGGCGAGACTGACTCCGGACCGCCACTTGGAGCACCTTATGTACCCGCGTGGGTTTCTGGAACATTCGGCGTAGAAAGTTCGGCGCGTAGAACATTCGTAACTCGATCAGACGACAAAATTCTCGAGCTTACCAGAATGTCAAGTTGAAGAAATAAATAAAATATTAGATTATTAGATTAGAACGCGATTTATTAGCCAAAAAATAATCAGGGAGTGGGATTGGGGAGGGCACCGGTGACAGAGAAGTCCGCTTTCTGGTATCGAACCCGGAGACACCGCGCGAGAGCCAAGCGCGGTAACCATTCTGCCACGCGCTCGCTGGGCAGCGCACGTGGCAATATCACTGATAGATGTTATAAAACATTTCTGGGACAACAAGAAAGAGGTCGCTTTAGCTTTTGGGGAGGATATCAGACCGTGGCGCCCCAAGCGGTTAACTTTAGAGCTAGATGGATAGGGACAACTAAGCGCTCGGCTGACTTAACCGAACGCGGCGTCAGCGTTCGGCCGGAGTTCGTGTTCTCCGGTGAGGGGGAGGAGGGGCTCTTTTGTTACCACTCCGGCCTGCATGAAGAATGCAGCATGGACCCTGCCCAGGTCAGCACAAAAGTCCAAGTGGGTCAAGTTCGCATCCTCTGACGATTGCTTTCGGGGGAGATCCGGCACTTAACGTCACTTCACTAATTGTAGGTATTTTTTCATTAGACTGTGCCCCGCGCTCTATTAAAAAAATATTACACGAACATGCCCACAAGGCCTGTGGGCATGTGCAGAGGCCTTGTTTTGGGTAAACACCGAGGTGTGGGGGTGACAAACGGGTCAGAGTGCTTCGCCCATAGTGACATCGCTGAATATCACATCTTGCGGCGCACCTTAGACGCATCGTTTAACTACAATTCATATTCCCAATACTCTATAACCAATACTCTTTAACTATAAACGAACTTGGGATACGGAAATGAGTGAATGGATAACAAAGAGAACCCACATAAAAGCCACGGCAGTGGTCGCACCTTCTTCAAGTTAGTTGCGTTCAGAAAAGCAATCAACGTTGGAAGACACTTGTTGGCATTTTGAGAGGTAACCCAGCTCCTAGTTCGCTTCCTGTACTGTTCTTCTGCTTATCAATGTTCGCTCACAGACAGTGTTCACAAGAGCAATAAGTGCCGGACTGACAAAAAAAAATCCTCGACGTTTTGACTTAGCGGGGTCAAATATAGAAAAAGCAAAACAAAAATGTCTACTTTTTTGTGTGTGTCCACTTCTCATTTCCTTCTATTTGTTATTTCTTTACACTTAAGTGTGCATTGTTCTCGTAGGTCGTTTCCGGTCTACTTGCGCCTCAGGGTGGCATCTTCCGTAAAACCACACCTTTGGTTTGAGGATTTTTTTGGTGGAAACTTTATAGAAACAGAAGGCGCCTTTGGGAAGGCAAGGGGAGAACCTTCATTGTACGAACTTAGGGCCGAAATATGAGTCACAGTCGGCAAAAAAAGCGCTATTTTCACGAGCTCAGTTAAAGTCACCGTAGCTAATCGGAGCTAGCAACAGGATTTGGTTGCTCGAAAGAATGTTCACGTTTGCCCGTGCCACGCCCACCCCACTTCATACCGAAAAAACTCGGAAAATGGCGGAATGTCAAAAAATGTATTTAAGCTAATGAGTACAAGATACTCGGAATTGTAATTAAAATAGAGTACTAAATACTCTCCATCTGAGGTATTTGCAAGATACCAAGATACTTCAAAAAGTATTTAAGATACTGTATCTTGAGTAGAGTATTCGAGATAGGCACAAGTCTGCTTATAGGTTCCCCGAACCGGCAAATATTGATGGCGTAGAATGCACCTTGTAAAAGCGCTGCGGAAGCTCGCCGCAAGCACGTGAAGATCCCCTACGCACTCGGCCATGGCCGCCAGTTTATAGGTGGCGGGTTAATAGGCAACTTGGTAATATTATCAAATTTGGGATTACGACTGTCTTTAGCTCCTTCAGTGTACCTGAGTTACAAGGTATATTTTCCCTCGATATTGCGAGCAGTTTTGTGAATATCATGGCTCAAAGCTTGTTTCGGTTGTCTACGGCAAAACCGAAACTAGGCTGCACTCTAAAAAAAAAAAAAAAAAGGGGGTGTAGGCGTTACACCCCTTGTCACAGCCGAAAACTTCAGTTCGACGTACTGCGCGCTGACGTCAAACTGACTGCCCCAACTTTTGCGAGAGGGTTGATGACGGTGCGATATAACACATTGAACAACTAAAGTACGTATCAAAGTCTACAGGAAAAAAACACAGGTTTCATAGTTGAGCCTCGAAAACCCCGATAACTTTTTTTTGCAGTCAGTCACACTTACACTAACTATTTCACTGAGTTGTACGACTCGGCTATCAAGCCGCTCGTGAAATTTGGTAGCGTTGGTACAACGTCAGTACGCTATACATCCAACTGAAGTTTTGGGGTACCATATATGTGACAAAAAGTGTACCGTCTACACCCCTTTTTTTTAGGGTGTGGAGAGGGATGGGGGGGGGGGGGGGGCACGCAGCGACGACGTTGTCAAGTCGGTTCTGGGTTACGCGGTACGACGTGCAGTAGACCTAGTCAAGCTACCAATTTCATGACGTAAGGAAGGCTTAGTGGACGCCACATATGTGTGCGCTGTTTACAGCGCATGCTCAGAATGAGCTTACACTTCTGCGGAGAGCAAGCCGTCTGCTTCTTGCGCAGGGGTTTGTGGTGACGTCAGAACGACGCCCAGTTCTGATTGGCTTTGATTAGAAGGATAGTGGATAGACCTCAATGATAGATGCCTTGAGGTCTATTAGCGATGTGCGCGACCAAAAGCGTCGCTGCGGTCA